AATAATGGGGGTAGGTGTGTCAGAGACAATAAAATTGGCAAGGGATAGAGCAGGGTTTAGGGCTGTTGTACAGAGGGTCACAATGTGTCACAGGCAATAGCACATAACAACAACATTCACTGCAGCACTGTTCACAATCAGTAGATGAATGGATAAGTAATGGTGGTTCATACATATAATAGAATACTATTAAGTAATAAAGAAAAATGTATTTCCAAAATATCTTACAATGTAATGAATCTGGAGTACATTATGTTAAGGGAATTAAGTCACTGACAGAAAAGAAATGTGTTCTCACTTTTATGAAATTATATCACTAGGTAAATAAAAGAAACTAGTGTTCTTTAGTGGTTAGCCAGAGTGGAGATCGGAGGAAGAGAGGTAAGTACTCCCTAGGGGGCAGTCATTTTTTTGTTTATAGAAGTGGAAAGGTAGCACCAAACGCAGGCGAAGTTTACACAGCATGACTGATGTAAATGAAGCCAGTAAGTTGTATACAGAAAAAAATGGATGAATAGGCAAATGCTAGGTTGTGTACAGCTTTATAATAATTACAACAAATGCTGTCCTTAATTGGACATAAACATGGGATTGGATCTGTTGGTTTGGTAGTTGTCTTAATTATCTAGGGGTGCTTTAAAAGAAACACCACAAATGAATGACTTTGGCAAACAGAAGTTTATTCTCCCACAGGTAAGCTGGACGAAGGCTTCCTGTCTGCCTCTTTCTGACCTGAACGATGCCTCCTTTCCACAGCAGTGGGCCCAGGACTCCTTGGACATCTCCATGTGTTTGGGCATTTATCTCCCCCTGGATCTTGGAGGTTCCCCACAGGGGTCCCTGGGTCCATTTTGTTCCTTGATGATAGTCAGCTCTTTCCTTCTCTGCTTGCTTCTGTTTATATCTTGGAAGATAAAGATGATGCAGGCCACATCCTAGGGAAAGCTCCTTATACAGGATCAGGGCTGTGACCTGAGTAAGGGTTTTGCAGCCCACCCCCTGCCCCACTGCCCTAACAAGTGATGGGCTTACCACAGCATGGAGGGGATTATCTCATTGATAACTAACGACTTATATCATCACATAACTGACAAACCACTAAAAAATGTGACCCAATCCAGTTGACGCAAGTATTTTGGGGGGATATAGTGCAATTAGGGAGCCCTGGTATCCTAGTGGAAGAAGAAAGAAGCTGTGCTGCAATCCCAAAGACATGCAGTTCGAATCCACCAGCTACCCCATGGGAGATGGACAGGCAATCTCCCCCCATGCAATTAACTGCCTCTGAAAACCCACTACAGCGTCAGCTATGGTCGGTTCCAACTCGATGGTGCACAACATATGCAATTAATAACAAGTCCTTAGGGGATTTATGGGACAATTCAGTCAAGTGGCGTAACAGAGCTCTTAAAATTGTCTACCCCCTAAGATGCTGATTAATGTGGAGGGTTTATAAGCCTACAAGTGGCCATCTAAGATATAATTATTACTCTTTTCACACCTGGAACAAATGAGGAGGGAAATTCAATAACCAGAAAGTCCTGGAATTCAGGACTAATTGTCCACATGGTCCACTGCCTCTTTTATTTTGAGACCAGAAGAACTAGATGGTGCCCAGTTACCATTATTAAGTGTTGTAATCAGGAATATAATAAATGAATCCTGATTAAAGGGGAGAAGTGTGGGACAGTACTTCAAATTTTTCCAGAACTCAGGCTTACTGGACTTGCTGAGGCTTGAGGTGTCCCTGAAACTAGGGTCCTGAGTTGCTCTTCAAACTTTAACTTGAACCTATACCCTGAAGTCACCCTCAAACTAACATTTTAGCCCCAAGACCTTTAAAGATTGTCACCCTTGAATTTTGTGTTTCTTTATTTAAAAAGACAGACCAAAGGGTCATAGGTATTTTAAAGCACAGATGAAGAGTTGTGAGAAAGGGGAGGGGAATGAAGCAAATGGAAGTGAAAGTAGAACAGAAATAAGACAGTGCTTGACATCGTAGAGTGCAACCAGCCAACTTTGCTGATCACTATGTCTACGAGTTATGACATGGGAATGGATTTTGCTGTGTACAATTTCACCAAAAAGAAAATAAAATTTTAAAATAAACCCGGAGGGCAGTTCAACTCTGACTCACCAGGGGTTACAGTGAGTCAGAGTCGTGCCAATAGCAACTAGTTGAAGGTGTGACTGTAACCCTGAAGGCAGCAGGAACTGTGGACAGGGTGTGGTGCAGGGCAGCTGCATTTCAGCAAGAGCTTATACTGATGGTATAATTTTAAGTTGGTTAGAAAACTCTCATTGCTGGTAAGTCAGAACCAACTCACAGCTGGTCACCTAGCATGTATTCAGAAGAACAGGAGGACATTGCCCATCTTTCTCCTGAGGAGCCACTGGTGGGTTCAAACCACGAGAGCCACCGCCGAGAGGTTAGCTGGATAACTCTGTGCACGGTGCCACAGTGGTGGTGGCTGTTAGGAGCTGACTCATAGTGAACCCTCGGCGGGTTCACTGGCCGTGAATTGCACAGGAAGAGATTGCCCGCGTCTCTCCTGTGGAACAGCTGGTGGATTCAAACCTCCTGCCTTTGGGTTCACAGTGCAACTCCTTACCCACTAGTCCACCAAGTAGGTTAGAATCTCCTTAAATTTTTCTTTTTAAAATTTATTCATTATTGCACATTCCTACCCCTCTCTTAGTCCCCCCTTACAATGCCTCCCTTGTTCCAAATTGTTCTTATATAATGTATAATCATATATTTCGTTCAAACTGTTGTTCCCCTCATCTAGAACTTCTTTAAATTTTAATTTTTTCACCTGTCACAAGAATGTGAGAATTAAATGGAATTAATACCTGGGAGCTTTGAGGCATGGTCCATAGCCTGTCACACTACCAACAGAGAGAAGCAGCACCTCCTGCCATTAAATCCACCATCAGCCCCTCAGCAGGAAGATGGGTGGTCTCCTCCCCGTCAGTTATTCAGCCTAGTAAATAGTGATGCTCCACTGAGCGTTACTATGAGCAGGAACTGACTGGATGGCAGTGAGGGAACACCTGGGAATGGGCTGTGGCCACAGTAATGTGCAACGCAAAAACTGGCGCACGGAGTGTTTTTGAAGGCGCTGTGATACAAAGATGCAACCTGCACCCCTAGTCCAAGATCCTGCTCTCCACAAAGTAGGTGATTCAACTCTCTCAACCCCCCTCCCCTCCCCAACCCCGAGCTTCTCCATCTGTGAAATGGGATCAACATACCACAGGGCAAAGGAGCTACCAGAGTGTATCTTCACAGTCACTTAGCTGAACTGGAGTCAAAACTCCATGAGCTTCAATGTTTTAATAAAATCTTTGTGAAGATCTAAGGGGGCAGTGTTTACAGAAGGTCTCTGTACAGGATTCTAGAACAGGAGGTGCTTTGTTCACCCCAGTAAGAGGTGGTGCTATTGTTTCAGGAAATCCCTGAGTGTGCCCTCAGTGACTGAGGGTCCTTTAGGAGTGGAGGAAAGGGGAAACACTCCACCAAATCTATTTCTTCTCCCTGTAACAGCAGAAGTCTCAGAAGGCTAGTGCTGCTTCTCTTCTCTCCTGCCCTGCACCCTCGTGTGGTCACCGCTCTTCCTAACCTGTTCTGAGTCTTTCCCTCTGTCCCCCACTACCCTCCTTTAGCACGTGCAGGCACGAGCCATTCTCTCTGCTCACAATTCTTTCCTCCCTTGGCCTCAATGGTTACAGCCTCTCTCAAGTGTCCTCTTCACAGAGCCGGTAACAGGTCTTTATTAGTAACCCACCCTCCCCCCAAATGATGGAGTTCTTGTTTCTGTCCACAGCCCACTTCTCCACACTCCCTCTTTATGTTATCTACTCTCAAGGTTTGAGTTAAACCTCTATGTGAAGACTCCTCAATACCCTTATCCTGAGCCAAATCTCAATTCCCATCATCTTTTACACATCTATCCAAGCATTCCTAAAAAGCTCTCAAGTACACTCGAACCCAGGGTTTTCTCCACTTTTCCAACTTTATTCTCCCTACCTTGGCTAGAGGCCTAAGAAGAGCCATGATCACACACGCGGCAATGGGTGTTACTTATATACATACACTCCTAAGAGGGCCTGGGGGCGCGGTGGTAGGTTAAGTGTTGAGCTGTTCAAACTCACTTGTTCCTTACCAGGATAAAGCTGAGGCAATTTTGGAAGCTGGATAGAGAACTGCAAGGAATCAGAATCCACATGATGACAGGTTTTGTTTTTATGTGTCCCTGACCCTCACCTACCTGTAGATGCGTTCTCAGGATCTGTGGAAGAGGGCTCCCCCATATCCCTGTCCGCACCGTCACTGCCCTCAACCTTTCTCCCATCTGATTATTACAAGAGGTCCATGAGAGACACCTTTATTCTCCTATAATCCATCCTTCTTGCCCCAACCTCTTTTCCGCACACCGACAGTGCTAAAACAGAAACTATGTCATTCCTTAATGTTGCCTCCCCCATGAGAGAAAGCAAATGTGACGGCTCCTCAATGAAAAAAAAAAAAAGTCCAGAACCCTCTATTGTAGCATCTTGAAGCCCTGCTGTCCTCTCCTGCTCCCAAAACATTGTTCAAGTTGCCCCCTCAGTCAGAAGGGCTATCTTTATTGACCTGCAGCACTTGGGTCATGGATCTTCAGAGTCTAGGCCTGGGTTTAGCACAGGTGTGTGCAAATACCGCTTTAAGAAGTCCCTCAGGAGCCTCGATGATATAAGAGTTAAGTGCCCAGTTTAAATCCACCAGTGTCTCCATGAGAGGAGGGACCTGAAAATCTACTGTGGCAATGCTATCAGGAAGGGCTAGGCCCTGGAGAAGGACATCAAGCTTGGCAAAGCAGTGAGTTATCAGAAGAGGAAGACTCAATGAGATAAACTGACAGTGGCTGCACCCGTGGATTGAAACACAGCAGATTAGGAGGCAACACAAGACAGGGCAGGGTTTCATTCTATTGTCACTCTGAGGAGGAGTTAACCCAACACCACCTAACTGCAACATGAATGGGAATAAACGGAATGCATAACAACAGGAGCTCCTGGGTGTTAAGCACTCAATTACCAGCCACAAGGTTGGCAGTTTGAAGCCACCCAGAGGCATATGGAAGACAGGCCTGATGATATGCTTCTAAAGATCACAGCCTCGGCAACCTGTGTAGCTGTTCTATGGGGTTCACACTGGATCACCACGAATCAGAATTGACTTGGCAACAACTGGCAACCCAACTTTGTAAAACTGAAAAGGAGGGAAATTTTTCCTTTAGGGAATCAACAAATACCTAAACTCGCATCTATAATGTTTCCAAATCTATATCCCTCATGTTGTTGTTAAGTGTTGTCTAGTCAACTACAACACCTAACCCTATGAACACCTCGCCCCGTGCTGCACCAGCCTATCTCCACCATTGCTGCAATCACTACATCAATCCACCTCATTGAGAGTCTTCATCCTTCACAGACCCATCTCTCCCAGCATGAAGTCTTTTTTCAAGGACTAGCCGCTCGTGACAACATGCTCGGAGCACGTGAGGCTGTTTTGCCAGTCTTATCTTCAAGCAGCACTCTGGCTGCACAACCTCCCAGACTGGTTGATTCTTTGGCACCATACAGATCAGTGTAATAGATAAAATGAGCTGAGGCTCATTCTTTCGTGGAAAGAACCACGGTCTATACATGAGTTACTGCTCTCCTTCTGAGGCCCAGCTGAAGCCTTCATTTATTCACTTATCTACTCCTTAGTCTAAGTATCTCTAGGTGCCAACACTGTAGAGCTTTCCCCCAAATAACCCCAGGAAAACACTATGAGCTAGTGAAATGCATTCATGCCCACCTCCTCAGGGTAACTGGGAGATCTTGTGTGGAGGGGCTAGGTCTCCCAGCACCAGCTCTGGAGTGAGCTTTCCCTCTGAAAGGCATCCTGGAGCCTCTGCTGAGGACGACAGCTACCATCACTCAGGACATTCCTAGCCTTTACTTCCTCCCTTTGGGCCAGATAGGAAAAGACTAAGGGGTTTGTGAGGTCTTACCCTGGAGAAACAGCAGATGGTCACCTTCCTCGGGCCTCAGTTCTTCTCTCAGTGTGAGCCATCCCAGTAACCAGAGTTCGCCCTCAAAAGTGAAATCTAGGCCCCACCCCTTCCTTATTACACTTACCAGAAAGTGTCCTTCCTGTCAAGTCCGCCCAGGGCAAACAAAGCTGTGGAGCAAACTTGAGCAAGATGCTCGTGGAGAAGAGCCCTGGGATAGGTCAAGGACTTGGAAATATCCTCTCAGCAGCACTGAGGGTGTTTGTCCCACAATCACCAAGCAGGTTCTGAAGCAGTGGGGATAACAATGTCCCTAAATCAGGCTCTTGGAAAGGAGCAGGAGGATCCTAAGCAAGGAAATGTGCAGTACAATTGACAAGTTTCCAAAATGTGCAGCACTGGTGAGTTAGAGGCAGTGTGCAACCCAATAGGAACAGATGAGTGGGTGGCCAATGAGAGGGTGGTCAAGTTCAGCCTGGAAAAGTCACTAGCTGGTTAAGTGGGTCTGGACAAAGAGACCACATGGCATGAAACAGCAGTGCATTCATGGACATGGGTGACACAGTGATGGCCCTCGGGGATACTATGTCATGGAGCTGGCACACCCAGCCTGTGGAGCCCAGGCACGCAGCTGCAGGTGCGGAAAAGGTAAGCTCTCAGCCACCAGCTGTTTCTCCTGGGGTCCCACAGCTCATTGGAATCCCACTGATTTATGGCAGAAAACTAGATATGTGGCAACACTGTTTAGGAAATTTGTGGGTACTCTGGCTACTCCATCAGCCTACAATTATCCATTGACAGTAACGACATCCACGTGACACCTGGCTGGGGATCAGAGAAGTGATGCTGTGTCAGCGTGGGCATGACTAGACCTGGAACCATGCCAGGCAAAAGCCCTGCTACAAGATGACTGGGAAGTGGCCAGGTATATTTGCTCTGAAAAGGAGACAAAGCCAAGGGCGGGGTGGGCAGAATGGAGTGGCCTGTTGCCCACCAACTAGTCTGGGGACAATCCCAGTGTCTTCACCTCCCCAACCCCTTGACCTAGAAGCCGAATTAGGGTTCCAATCTCTCTCAACTTTGGTTGCAATAGAATATGGAACTGAACATGAAGAATCCAGCTGTTACTGCTGTGAATAGCCAAAGGGCAGTTTTCCGAGCCAGGGTGAGGTTGCATACCTGATAGGGTTCCGTGTTGGTTTCTGGAAATCCTGTGTATGTTTTCTTACAAGCAGGGGTCTTAACCTAGTTATTGTGCAAGGGAAGGTCTGTATGTGACAAGGTACGTGGAGGGGCCGCTTTAGCTGTGAACAGCTGTGGTCGTCCTGGCTGTGGATGCAGTTGCCGAGGCACAGTGGATGACAGAGGTTCTCTTCTGATACCAGATGGCTACTGAACAAGGGAAGGATGAGGCCGAAGAGCCCCGAGGGCCAGTTCCCAGCTGGCCAGAGAGCGGAGTTAACAAGGAGGCGTCACCTGGAGGGTTCTAGCAGCAGTTAGAAACAATCCCCCCCAACCTGCTATATGGGTACCCTGAATACCCTGTTCTGGGCTGCCTGTAGTCAGGCCTGTGAGGCAGAGAATTTGCCCACCATCCCCCCTCCATGCATTTCAACTCGATGTTGCAGCTCCTATACGCATCACCGCCTGCTGCTACTTCTTTGTGATGTTCTGTCTGGAAAGGCCCCTCTTTGCTCTCTCCAACCTTCTAAGTTGATTTTTTTCATCTTTAAGTAGCAGCTCTGTTGTCACTGACACTAGTAAACTCCCCTGAGAAGTCCTGTGGGTCCTGATCCCCACTGTGCCTTACTGAACCCACAGAACCACTGTGTATCACTACGTTTATAGCACTCTACTGGAACCATTAATGCACTTGTCTTCCCATGTACTAAAGGCTCCGTTTTAGAGACCATGGTCGAGTTTTAGACCTTGGGATAGGTATGGTTATTTGTGCTAAATGGGAAAGTTCTCCCCCAATCTCAATAGCCCAAGGCTTTTGAAACAAACAAACAAAAAAATAAAGCACCCTTCCTGCTACCTGATGCACGTGGTTTCTGCATACTCTCTCCTCTTGATTTGTATGTTCCTCCACCTTTCCATTGATAACTACCATTTATTACCTGCCTCTCTCCCAAATTTCCATCTGTTCCTCTAAAATGGAAGAACCATATAATAAGTAATAAAGTAACCCAAATTTGGAATTTCCAGTAAGGTATCAATTTTGTGGGTCAAGTTGGAGGTAGTAGGCTAGAGAGGACATGACCTCCAGTGTCAGGCAAGCCCAGGTTCAAATCCCAAGGCTTACAACTGTATGATCTTGAAATTTCTTGGCCTCTTAAGCCTCTCTGGCAACTCTACAGAGGACTCACAATGCTATATACCATGTTCAGAACAAAAGCTGCCTTTACGCACTGTCTCTGCAGGACAAATACTGTGGTAGGTCCTTTCTGCATGATTTCTTCATCCTTAGAACCCTACATGAGTTTACCTATTTTAAGGACAAGGATACTAAGTCTTGGAGAAGTAACTTGCATGAAAAGCAGGGACTCAGAATTGGGTTGACACAGCACTCTTCTATGTACTTTATCTCTTCAGTGTGTAATGCTCCTCCCTCAGGGCTCCTAAGACAGGGAGGACAAGACTAGACAAAAAAACAGCCTTTACCAAGGGCAGCTGAGGAAGGCAGGCGCAGAGGCTGGGGGTGGACTGCTGTTCCCTCGACTCCTCATTAGCTCAAAACTAAGCCTGCCCAGTCCTAGTAGGAAGGGCCACACCTTTTGTAGCTGACCCATGATCTAGGTTGGCTGCTCAATTCCAAGCTAAATAATTCATTTTCTAGAATCAGCCTTGTCACTTTTCTTATCTTCACGCAGAGAGATAAACATACTATTCCCTGTTTATGGAGCTCTACCTCCAATAAACTGTCATTTAATGAGAAAAGGCTAGTGAGTAACTGAAGGGACACAACTGATAAAATATCTTCCCATTAGAAGGAAAACAGAAAAAGCATCAATATTACAGTCAAAACAGAGCAACTTCTTTAGGGCCAAAGAGCAAGGGCACTGCAGTTTCTCTGTCATGGACAAAGAGTGGATTTACTTGTTCCTCTGAGCCTTTGTTTTCTTATTTGAAAGCCAGTCTACCTCACAGGGCCGCTCTGAGGAGTAAATAAAGGAAGACATCTTGCCTTGTTGTTAGGTGCCAAACAGAGCAAGGGAACATTGCATGATTTAAAATCAAGAAAGGTGTGATTTTAAAAACCGTAAAAGCTACTACCTTTATGAGACTGGCTATAAGGTTGGTATCATCCATACCAAGACAGACTATAGAAGGAACAAATAGTAAGCTCAGGTGCCTTCTTCTAACTCAAACAGCTTGTATGCAAATTGATCTACAAAAGAAACAGTGGGTTAAAGGCCTACATGTATCTTATATCCCAGCTCATTTTAATTTTAAAATAAAAGGTAGGTTTGTTTAGAATCAAGTCAGAAATCAGAAAAAGTCCAAGTGGTATCTATCCATCCTTGTCTAAACTGTCCCAAGGGTCTTCATGTTCAGCAGCTATCTCCCCCAGTCTTCACTGCAGCTTTAAACTGGTTCTGTTGACACCCTTCTTTGGTTGGGTCCTGTGGTAGTGTTTCTGTCATAGTGTCTTCCCCCCCCCCAGAATCTTCCCAAGCACTGAGGACAGACCACACCTTTGTTCTGCAATGGAAACTCCTAGACAGTGTGGTTCAGAACATATATTGCTTTAGTAATGTTACTGAAATAGAAACAACTTCCCACTGCTGCTATGACTTTTGGCAGTGAGCAGAACCAATCTATATTTCAACAGATGAATAAATCTGGTCATTTCCTGGCTAACCTAGGAAGAAAAAAAAAATAACTGCACAATAATTCTGAGTGCTCACTTATAAATTCCTATGAAGAATGGCAGGATAAAAGTCCTATTCTCTGACTAGGAATTTTGAACCAAAAAAGAGCAGTAAGAATGGTACAGATAGGTGGCCTAGTGGCAAGAAGCTGCACTGCAATCCCAGAGGAGTGCAGTTCAAATCCACCAGATGCTCTGCTGGAGAAGGAAGGGAAAATCTCCTCCTAGACCAGTCAGATCCGATTTGACGGTACACATACACACAAAATAATAGATAGATAGATAGAATGGTACAAATAGCAGAATAGTAGGATTAAACACACCAGCACATTCAAGAATAATGCAACTGAAGACTGAGAAGGAGACGATGTGCTGTTTAGAACTGTGCATTACACATTAAATGAAGATAGCGATATGCCAAAGATCAGTAATGGAATTCATTCAGAAACCTGTAACTTAGGAATCTGAGAATTCAAATTAAAAATATCCCACTAATATTGAATTCTAGCAAAACCAGGGCAGGCCGGGGGAGGGGGCGGGGGAAGGGGGGGCCCAGAATTGATAACGCTCCAAATCACTGGAATAATATTTCATACAAACATAGATAAATATATTTAACAATAAGTGAATTCAAGTAGACTGTTACAAAACAGAATACATAGTTGTCTGTATAAAACATAGAAAACATAAAAACCAGGATGCTGAATGGAGGTGCTGGTGGTGACAACTTCAGGGCTCAAACTTGCTCAACAATTAACTAGAGGCCACAGCAGCTTAATGAACATGGCCCACTCCTACTATTGAGAGGTTTAGTCAACCTCCTGACCCTGAACATTTAGCGTTTTCTCCTTCTTCCTCTGCCTGCGTTGGTCCGTGCCCGGCTACCTGGTCCAGCAGTAAACTGATTTTTGAAGTCTACTAAGCAATCAGTGGCTTCTGAAATGGAAACAAAAGACTTGATGGGGGAATTATTTCTGTCGAGATGTTCAAGGGAACTCTGCACCTCTCTACTGTAGTTTGCCTCTTCTACCCCTGGTGAGGGAACTCTGGAAAGGAAAAAAAAAAGTTGATTTAATAAACATCTACTAATAAATACCAAGCATTATTGCCCCTACACCAGAAGTTTTCACATAGATTAGTTCCTATCATCTCTGTAACAACTCAACTGGATAAGTATTATCATTTCCTTTTCACCACTGAGGGCACTGGGAACAAGTGGGTTGGGGCATACACCTAAAGTCAGGAATTTAGGCAATAAGAGAGTAAGGATCCAAATCCAAGTTCTCAAGCTAGAAAAAAAACCCAAAAAACAAAAAAACCAACAACCAGGCTAGACGACTAAGGTTGGGTAGGTGTAGAAAAAGGGAGTAAGACACAGCTTTTGCTCTGCTTGTTTTAGCATCAAGACTGAACTGAGCTATCCAGCTAATTCTTAGCCCAGATATGGGAGGACCACAAAGCTTTTCAGAAAAAAGCCACATCGATCTGATTCCTACTTCAACGGTTTCATTATCACACTACACCTAAAAGACAGGACCAGGAGGCATATAGTCTTCAGAACTGCTGACTGCCACCCTTTCTTCAGTGCACACCCCAATTCACCTTAAGCTTCCTGTTTCTGATGAAGTGTTCTTTATCTCAGCATCTGTGATAAGAGGGGGAAAAAAGTAGTAATGTTGACAGTAGTGTTGATCATCATATCCTTCTCACTGATCATGTACTTCCTGTGTCCTGGGCTCTGCTTTTTATCAGATCCCCAATCTCCAAACCAATGGAATGTGAGTTTTAGCATCAACAAATTTAGCAACCAACTTCTGAATGAACAACCAATGAATAAATCTACTTCAAATCTGAACTTGGGGAACAAGCCACTTTCAAGCAAACTCTACCACCTGCAGAGATTCACAACCTGCTTATCGAGAAGCAGAAGGATGTGAGGTCCACAGAGGCTGTCTTTTTATAGTTGTCAGAAGGCAAAACAGATTTGCTTGGTAGAAATGAACTATTAGAATTATATGGCAAGTAAATATCATGAAGCTTAAGCAAAAGCTTCTTTTCCATTTGTTTCTGGTATATTTAACAATAGTAACTAACTAATAACAATAATAATAACAGCAGCTCACATTTAATATAGTTTGCTTAGGTCATGTATTATGTTTGAAGCACCTGTATGATTAGGGGTTAAGTAACTTCAGGTCAAAGAACAAGATGTGGCAGAGCCAGAATTCAAACACGATCTGACAATGTTCTTAACCAATCCACTCTACTACTCCCAAAATAATAGACCCAAAGAGTTGGAGTTACTTCCTACAAAACCCGTCAGCAGCACAGGCTGGGACAACACTGAAGGTGGCATAGAAATGATGCACATCTGGTTCCACACATTTGTCCTGTAAGAGGTATTTTTTGGGCTTGTGACAGTCCCCTGTGTTTTGGACATGTTTGAACCCAATTCAACAGGCAATCTGATCCCAGGCTTTAGAAAAAGCCTTAAATTAAAGTAAGACAAAAGGTCCCCAGTTGCATCACTTCTTGTTCACTGCCTTCAAGATGAGTACGACTCATAGCAAGCCATGAACAAAAGGCCTGAAGCCCCTCTACAACTATCAACATTTATCAAAGTTCATAGAGTTTTTGGAGGCATGTTGTTTAGGAAGTGGATGCCATTCCTGCTTCCAATATATCACCTTACTTGGGGGAAATATGACTGAGATCATGAAAAGGTAGTTGGCTGCATCAAATGTGTACCCACAATCCCAACAGAGAGTTGTCAATAGCTGTCTTCACAGCAAGGTAGAGGCAGATTCTCACCTGCAGATTGGTGCTCAGACTGTTCCAGGAGTGTGAGGAGTCGGCCTTCAGTTTGGCCTCTTTTCTGTGACAGAGCGAAATGGATAAAAAGGTTACCACATAGCTAAGAGTCTAAAACATAGTTTCTCTGGCACATATCACACTTGTCTCTATAAAAGGTGTGGGGAAGAAGACCTAGGAAATCCTCTGCTTTCTAATAAATGTAAGTACACAAGTAAAAAAAAAAAGGGTGATGAATAAAATTCATCTCCATGAAACAAATACTGTCCAAGAGATAAGTGAAATCAAAGATAATTCAACAAAACCCAGCAGCTTTGACTTGTGATAGATTAGGAGATTTAAACTTGAAATCAGGAGCTTCAAGGTAGCTTCTACAGGCAGTGACGCCAGAAGAATAAACTGGTTCTATGGTATAAACATTTACCTTACCTATGAGCCTCATACCATCTATTCCTGGGGCCTTATTTTTTTGCTATTTCCTTCAAAGCAGCTTGAACTTCTGCCTTCATCACCATAGGCTCTGGCTCATATGCTATTTCATTAAATTCTTCTGTATTTGCCAATTCCTTTCTATATAATGACTCAGTATATTCCTTCCATCTTCTTTTAATACTTCCTGGATCATTTA